ACAGTCCTGGTGCAAATTAGAACAAGTCGCTATTCAACAAGGGCCTAAGAACTGATAGCAGCCGGCAGGTTAGGTGAACTGTTTGCTCAAGCTGATGGCTTTATCAGATTGGTGCTGAGCCTGTGGACTGAGCCTATAGAGCCACCATCTGGCAGAAGGATGCTCTGAATATTTTCAGGAATGAAATGACTAATGAAGTCTCCTTGTTTATTTTTTTTTTTTGCAATAGACATATATGTGTGCCATCCTGGAAAATGAAGATCTGGCCACGTAGTTTGTGAGTTATGGTTCGCTGTCCATCCTGTAGTGAGTTACAGTGTAATCCAAGCACTTCAGTGAGACTGGAGTTCCAATCGAACGTCTTTTGCAAACTTGAACTTAAGAACCTGTAGGACTTGGTGTCCTTTCCTCCCACAAATGCAGAATTGCATTTTGTGCTACTTCAATACGCACAGATGATCTGCTGGTGATGATCATACTCGTTCTAAGATGTTAAAAAACATTTTGCCTGAATCTGAATAATTTCAGTTTGTCATTATTTGCAGAGAATGTTAGAGCTTTTCTAAAGCATAATAGTCTTTTACAAGGCATCGAAAGGCTACAGTAAAAGAGGTGAGTAAACAGTGAGAGGAAAGGTCAAGATTCTCTTGAGGCAAGTGTTTGCTTGGCTTTCTGTGTCCTCTCCTGAAAACCCTGCGATTATTTGGCTGAAGAATGCAACAGCCCCAGAGCTCTTGGTATTCACATAGGAGACGGTTGTTTAAAACAGCACTGCCTGCTCTATCAGCGAATGTTATTACTTATAAAGTTAATGAATCGTATTCAGGGGGAAAAAACGGTTTTAATTAAAGCTTAAATGGTATCTTTAGAATAGAAACCCTGTGGGATTTCTTAACTAGTGAGTGAGAGGTCTGTCTGGTCTCCGTTGGTCCAGAGTAAATGATAAACAGATGAAGCCAGAGTTCCCTGACTAACGAACAGCCTGCTTTTTTATTCAAGAGACAGCTTCTGGATTTCAACATCAAAATGTAGTCACAAAGAGAATGCGGGAAAGGGAATAACAATTACAATTACAATAATAATAATAATAATAATAATAATTGGACACTGGCTTAATAATTGGATAATGTGTGCATTATACTTTGTTATTTACGTAATGTGCATTTTGAACCTTGATATGAAGAGGAAAAGAATGGATTACCAGGCAGTAAAACAAATGACCTGGCAAATTTTAGATTTAAAATGGACGTCTGGTGGATTTTTTTTTCCGTTGCATAATTAGAAGCTGATCTGTTTTTTGCTGTTTTACACAAGTGTATACAAATTGCCCCTTTATCAGAAAGTCCATTTATTTTACAGCTGAGGATTTTGTAGTTTGGCTACAAAACCTTTTGATAACTGTAACTGCTCCTGCAGTGATGTTTATAATGAATAAATACTGTCTGTCTGCAGACATATTATCATTTTGTTGACAGTGAGTCAGGTTTTATTGCTCTTCGGTATGCACGTCTCATGCTGATAATGTCAAATCCTTACAGATGTCTTACAAATATCTGCCCCCCTCTGTCCCATACCTCTTTTGTCAGCATGCTAGATTTTGTTTTCCCTCTCTGGGGCAACTCTAAAAGGAATAAACCCCGCCAGATTTCATTTGATCGTGGACTGAGCCTTTCACCTTCAGAATGGTGTTGACTCCACTTTTCTTTTCTGAGCACGTGAAGCCCACATGCCTTTGGATTACACTTAATTGTACAGCCTTTCTTTGAGGTCTTTGCAAATGCTGAGCTGTGGAAACAGGGTCCTATCCACTGTGCTTTTTTCCTTTAAAATTTGATTTCACATTTGGCTGCCTTATTTGTGTTTATTCCAAGGTTAAATAACTGAAAAGATTTTGCTTCAGATCAGATGTTTCGTTTTAACTGGACATGGAGCCAATATCGGGGTTTTTTATGGCAAATGATTCAAATATTATTTAGTTTTAAACCTGACTTTAATTAGGCAGCTTCTATTCACCTGCTTCTGTTTGGACTCCAGTAAGGCTGGTTAACATGGACAGATTTGTTAATGATTTACATAAAGTCAGAAAGACTGAATGAAGTTGTTGGCCTCATTTAAGAACATCGCTAAGTCTGCTAACAAGAGGAGGTAATGCAGTCTCTTTAGCTTATTTGGTTTGTGGTCTGACAAACTGTTTTTTGAATGAAATCATTAGATTAGCTTTGACAGCATGGCTGGGTAGTTTGTTCCAGACTCAATCCTCAATCTGAGAATCAGATCTTACATTTTTCTCTTAAGACTAGAAATATTCAGTTTCCTTGAGGCCAGGTACCTGATCCTAACTTGATCCTTCCCAAGACTACATCTACTGTATATTGCTTCACTGCACTGTTTAGAAGGTGAAACTTCTTCCCAGTTTTCTACATTGTCATCTACCAGGTGTTTTTCCAGTTTTCAGTTCAATCCGGATAGTTTGAATTTCCTTTACAGCTTCTACAAAACTCACTAATCCTCCTGTTTTGGTTATCATCTGTGAATTTTACTATCTTACAAACATGGCCATTGTTCATTCAAGATCATTGTTATAAATTAGGAAGAGTGGTATATATATATAATATTTATAAATAAGGTCCTAATACAGATTCCAGTAGAACATACCATTCCAAAGGTTGCATTCACCCTGTCTAAAGCAATACACATCTGTTATAATGTATTGTCTGGTTTTCCATTCTGTTACATGGCAATGGAGGCCACATACTGTATATAAGAACTGTTCTGAACCTTGAAACTTCAGTAAGATCACTGCTGGGAAGGCTTCTATAAATGGCAGCTCCTAACTGACCCAGGCTGACAGACAAGGTGGACGATACCCAGTGGAAATCCCAATTAAGATATCTCGGTAGCGGTCTGCTGCAATACGTACTGACAGGCCCTTCAAAAGACACCACCATCTCAGAATTATTGGAGGTGTTAATCTTTGTATGTACTCGCATGGATAGAACATTTCAAGCCCATTCCCATTAGCTTATTATTGGTAGAAAGGGGTACAAAGCTTCCTTTTCTTTGTGTAGGACTGGCTTTCTGAATTACAAATGTATTCATTCCCGATATACGACTCCTGTTAAGCCTGCTAATCGCATTTATATATTGTCCATTAAATGTTACATACATATGGACAATATCGTACTTGAAGGTCTAAACCGTAGCATCCAGAAATTGGGATGGCATTAGACATGCTTTTTGGCAGCAGTCAGTACAAGCTGAAGGTCAAAAGCTGATCTATAATTTCCCCTCATTGCTAATTTGTGGGGCATTACTGCAATTATATGTTTTCAGTTTCAGGAAATGGGGAAATTTAAATATAAGATTCCTTGTTCCTTCTCTGCTAAACATGAATTGTCCTTTGTGACAGAGGAAGGTAGAATTGCTATTTCATGGCTATGATTAATGAAGGATCATTCACCCTTCAATAAGCGTTCCGTCTTCAGCTCTCACGCCAAACGATATATCCAACTATTTCCTTTATTTGTTCCCTGTCATCTGATCATGTGGTAATAGCGCTTTTGGTTAAATGAGGCCAGCCAAATAAAGTCTTAATGAAACAAAATTACTTTTTTTTAAATTAAATCGTTAAAAGTCTCGTTCCCTTAAACCTTTGAAAGCGGACGGAAGAAGATGATTAATCTGTAACATTGCAGACCTCTTTGGGTTTTTAAAAGGTGGGTCTTCCATCTCGCCTTGGTGCTCAAGAAAGAAAAGGGATGACCTTAGACGTGGAAGACAGCCCAACTAGTGCTGCACGCTACCATGAAGAAGCACCACTATTTATCACTGTGGTTTATTTTTCTGAGACAGCCTAAAGAAATTGAAAAGAAATAGTTTTTAAAGCAATACAGGGATAAATTGCAGGTTACATTCCACTTTGCCTTGTCTATGTGTGTGTGTATTCTCATCCTGATGTGTGCCTTGATACTGTTGTCGTCAGACAGGAATGTCTGTTTGAGAAATGTGTAAACAATGAACACAGCCCCAAATCACAATAGCTTGGGCTTTCACTCCCAGTAGCATAGCAACACTCAGAAAATAAAGAGCAGCATTCTATCTGAGCTAAAATCGCCACTTCACTTGTTAAAGCTGACCATTTCTCATATTAAGTGCCTTTCCTCTACCTAGCAATGTTTTGTTAACCATCCAAGCTTCACTGGAGTTTGAAGGAGAAGCTTTGTCCTACAAAAGTATTTGGAATTAATGAGAGGATAAGACGACTTAAAACTAACTCAAGGAGTCCTCTATTCCAGTGCACTTAAGAGGAGGGTTAGAGCATTCACTAGCAGAATCTATAGCATCAAGAACATACGTAAAACATGACTGGAAAAAAAACTACTAAAACCGACAGTGATTTAAGTAAATATATAAACTTGCATTTTTTTTTATAAATGTCAAGACATGATCAAGAAACTACAGAACTACCGTTGAAGAAAAACAATGGCGTTCAAAAGAAAATTGAAATTGTATTTTGCAAATGTACTTGACAGGGAAATTGTCGATGGCTTGTTAGATGTTACTGGAGCTTACTACTTTCCCATTGCACTGCGAGTTTAAGTTTACACTTATTCAGTATTCGAACTCCTAAACTAAACCTCCATCACGTCATTAATCAGCATATCCTTTTCCATATCAATGGGTAACTTAAAACAACTGTATGGACAAACACAGCATGCTGCAGCAGCTACTAATTTGGCCTTCCTTAGAGTGCACTCAAGTGAATGCACTCTGGGAAGGGCGCGAATTAATTCATTCTAGTGCCCTCAAGTGTCCATGCTGTGCAATGACTATGTTGAGTCCCGCTATGATGCTCGGCAAATACCTGGTCAAGGCCCTCACTTGGGGTAGAACGGGTCAGTGGTTCAACTTTCCTCGCATTGCCATGCCTATGTGTTTTCTAAATGGTTTGGACAGATTCCAGCAAAATTCAGTAAAAAAAAAAAAAACACCTACTTCAATTTTATGACATCTTTAAAATACCCTTTTATTCCAGAATACATTAAGGTACAATTAAAATTGTTTATACTTTTGGCTTCTGCATTAATCTTAAAGAGTCCATTGCAGTATACTTCAAGCATATGGTTTAAGTTGGAAAACTTTGAAAAACAAATCCAGGCCCTTGCAGGACTCCAGCTCACTTAATTTTCTGACTGCAACCCTCAGAGTCCTAAGAATATGAGACAAAGAATTAGGGCAGCCTCAGCTATAACTTTGCAACATCATAATTCTTTCTACACATTGCAATGCACTAATTATACTGCTGTTTACAGTCTCCGTGCATCATAGACTGTTAGTATTAACTTATAAATTGGAAAGACAATTCCAGTGACAGATTACTGGAAAGTCTCAATTATGGAACAGCACTCATTCTTTTCTGTTAGAAAATAAAGCATTTTTACCAGTGAAGATACTGGGAGTTCAAATATTAAATATTTAATTCAATAGATGTTATGAAAACAATATAAATCAAATATCCTGTTTTGGCAAAAACTCAAGTCTCAAATCACAGGCTCCACGTGCACTCCACAATTCAAATATCTGATAGGAGTTTTACTATTTTGCAAGGATTTCTTTTTTTTTATTCAGTTCAACTTTTCAAAAAATTCTTTTGAGCAGCATCAGCACAAAATGAATGCACAAAAACAACTTTCATATTTTTAGTAAACAGAGTGCCCTGTACAATATACAGTATAAAGTTTCAATAGTCACTGAAGATATGTTTTTCTGGATTCTGTAAAACAGAGATGTCAGTCCCCCTACTGATGAAATTTTAAACATAGAAGAAATGTTAAACCTTTCTTTTCATGTATTTATTTTATTATATTTATACAGTAATGACATTTCCTAGCCAACAGTGCATAATTTACACATACACTTGACAAAAACAGGCTTATAAACTGGGGTGTGTATGAACAAGAAAGTGATTTTTAAAAAATAAATCACAGAACAGACATCAAACACTTTTCTCCTCTTGCTGAACATATTATTATTATATTATGCTGAAAAACTGGCGTGGTATAAACTCTTATGCTATAATTGAAAACACGTTCTGTACTGCATTTCTTCCATTTTTAAGCATAAACAATGTTTCCCATATGACTTCCAGTAATTAAATTAAAATGGTTCTCAAACAATTACATCTTGCTCTACAACACAAAGTCTGGCAAAGTCCTCAATAAGGTTAGAACAAGCACTGCCAGACCAATTTTTCAAGAGTTTAGTCAACAGTGACTGGTGCATGTTAACATGTTACCTAGGGTAATCTAACACATTAGCCCAGACTATAAGGGAGGCCTGTGTCCTGACCTTGCTGTAGCTGTGTCTTCATGAAGATCACGTTCTGTGTGTGGCATGAAACGGTAGAGTATTAAGTGCCCCTTAGTGGCCAGCCAAGCAATTGCAGGCTGAACTAACTCCAGCGCTGGAGCAGCGGAGGGGGAAAAGGCCAGCGCTGGCAGAGAAGCAGAGGTCCACAGGTCTTCAGTGTGGGCGGAGGGGAAAGACGCGCGAGGAATCGGGTGCAACAGCATAACGCCAACAAGGGAGACTGCGGTCTTACGGGCCGACACTCAGCTCCGCGGACAGGATTCACTTCTCGGTCGAGAAGGCTCTCTTCATGAGCGGCGGGGCGGCCTTGCCCGCATCATACACTGCTTCTGGTGGGGGGCTGCTCAGGCAGCACCAGTCTGGAATCCTTCCCATCTGGTTGTAATAATCTCGAGACACCGACCGGCTACCCAGGATGTCTTGCAAGGCCCCAAATATAGCACCTGTAACCCCAGAACACAGTCCACATGGGAGACAGACCTCAGGGAGCACTGCTGCAGCAGTCTGCATGTCCTAGCATTCCTTTCAGAGCAATGACACTAAGTAAAGGTAAACATCATACACATGCTAAACAGCGATACCTCCCTTAGCACTGCTTCGGTTTACACCGATTTGAAATAGTGCTCTTTGACCTGGTCGTTGTTTTAATTCCTCCAAATTACGCCTGTGAAAGCAGGAATGTCTGTGACGCGCATACAGCCCAGGGAGCAGCACCTAGAGCACACTCAGCACAGGCTGCAGTTGCACACCTTGTGATTATTTGTGCTAAGGGCAAAACGTAATGAAAACCATTCACTGCACGGCAAAAGCCTGTCAGAATGAAATCTCAAACATTATCAACGAGGTTTCAAGCCTGACCCACAATGTGGCAGATGCAGCTCCTCGTACGAAGAAAAAAAGAGGCTTTAACAAGAGCCGAAGTTTATCGATGCAAACTCCAAATAAACATTTTGCTGCGGAGCCAAATTTATTCATTTCTTCTTTAGCTATAAATTAAAAATAAACTCCTATTATTTTTACGTATTTTGATATAAACTCATATTTGTATAAGTTCTATTCTGTGATCAAAATATCATTAATGCCTTCACCAATACACAAGCAAAGTTCTCACACACACACACACACACACGAGATAGCATCACCCATTGAATCCAGGCTCTAATGGAGTCCCACTGTGCTCCTTTATTTGGAATGCATCTTTATTTGGATGCTTAATTGAGTAAAAAAAGAAATGCCCTTTTTTCACTAATTTGCTATGTATTTTCATGAATTGGGAAAACTGAATGAGAAACTGCCATCTGTGACACCATGAGGAATGAAGGATATAGCACCCAGGCACAGATGGTCCACTCTGCAGTCACAGTGAGCCACTGAGCCTCATCGGCAGCTCTCTGGGCTCTGTATGTGGGCAGACACCCAGCACCAAGACTCACCTCCCAGCCAGGCCGTGCAGTTGGGCTTCGCGGGCGGGTTGTGCAGGCGGAACGTCTTCGTTGAGAGAGCCTGCTGGTATCGCGGTTTCTCCACCAGCAGCCGGATCTCGGCCAGGAGACGATGCAGGAAGCCAGGGAGCATGGCTGTGCCGCCGATGATCACCAGGTTCTCCGACAGCACCTTGCGAGTGTCAATTGGACACTGGAGCACAGAAAATGTGGGTTCACACATCCTTCTCCAATTCTGCCAAGAACCTCAGTTCAGGTCTCGTGGGTCATTAGGGCACTTACAGCCAGACAAGCAAGACACTTGTTTTCTATATTGATTATATCTCTACACAATATCAATGGAAATGCACACATGCTGCTTGAGAACTAGGACAGCACAATGGTTCTGCAGCTGAAGGGCACTTCTGAACTTGGCTCACTTCAAAGAGACCAATGTTCTCATAAAAAGTCATTCAGAAGAAACAAACAAAACATTCTCATAAGGATTTAGAGCAGAAGAAAAAACGCATTCAAGTTTGTTTGCTTAATTTGCCAAATTTCTCTATTAGAAATGGAAATGCTACATAATTGTTAGCTCTAGGATAAAAAGATTACAACTAACGATTTTCATGGCAAACCTCATTTAAATGCATAATTTATCCCACAAAAAGACATTTTACAAACTTCAAGTACATTGCTTTCTGATGAATTCACAGGCGATACTAAACTATAACAGTTACCTTGATAAGTGAATCGAGTACTAAGGTGGCGACAGACTTTTCCTCGTTGTCTTGCTCAAACATTGTTTCGATAACAGCATCCCTTCAAATACAGACAACATTAGCAACTGATAAAACAACCCCACAGCAAGACACACTGGTAGAAGCCCCAAAAAGTGCAGTGAAGAGGCACATGGAAGTTCATGATTGACTGATCCCACCTGATTGATCCCTTGATGTGCAGAATCTTTTCTCCGTCCAACGGATAGTCAACATCAGGGGGTGGGGATGGACGCTACAGAGAATGAAAAATAAATGTACACCAGAAACTCCTCGTCATGGGAAGCCAAAATCAGTGAGGGGATTGGCCACCAACCAACCTCAGCTGTGCCTTCCAGGTTGAACCTTGTATCCTGGATCTTCAGTCCTCTCTGCAGGTCACTGACAAAACAGGTGCGCACTGCGAACACACAGCCCAGCATCAGTCCAGTGCACAGCTCGCACACGGCCAAGGGCTCCCCATGCCTCTTCTCTGGAACAAAGCCTCTAGTGCAACTCCCACATGTCTCAATCCCCATTTAAATCAACACTGCACGCTTCTATCCCCAGTTTCACCCTTAAAAGATTTTTCAGAGACTGGCAGGAAAATAAGTACAGTGTTTACAACTAAAGTGCAAAAGCAACATGCAGGTTTTTACGTTAATAAATAATGCAAGAGTAAATTAAAAATTAACTTAGAACCCTGAACTTTTAAAGTATGGTTGTCCAGAAGAGGCCTTTCTTAGCCTTCCTCTAGAAATAAACATGACTTAATGATGAAACAAGTTAAAAGATCATTTACATCAGTTTGTCCCTTCTCTGTTACCTAGTAAATAGAAAACTGTTTTTTTTTAATGTGACTTGTGTGCAAAGAGTAGGACCACACAAATCTAGCTAATGTGTTTTTTTCAATCCCGATTTCTACTTTTTCACTCCACAGAGACAAATGGCTTCCCTTGTTCCACCTACCTTTAATGTCTTCAACTATTTCTTCAGGAATAGAACCTTAAGAGACAAAAGCAGAAGAATGTTGTGTTTCCCTTCCTCTATTTTCTCATGAATTTCTACATCAGAATCCCTTTCCTTGTATTTTTTCTTGCTTTGACTTCTGAGAGGACCCTGACTGGCTACAAACCAGTGCGCTACAGTGCAGGGACGCAGTTTGTGCTACAGATCTTTGTAGTGTAATTATCTATGCTCCTAAAGGAAGGTATGCATTGTTTAAATTTGATCAGTACAGTACACCACTGGAATACGCTGCCTCGAAACCCAGCGTGGACAATGTGTGCCATTTAAATGACAGTTTCAATTATTCACACATCGTGTCCTTCTCTGCTCTGCACGACTTAATCATTATTCATAGCACATTAAGATATCCACACACTCAAGTAACAATCAAAAGAGAACAAAATAGATTCACAGAGCTGAAATTACTTGATTGCACTGCTTGTCTAAGGGGTGCATATTAACTATGATTAGTTGTGGGGAGGTTAAAAAAGGAGATTATACCCTGTCAAACCACAAATGTGTTCAAAGCAAAAATGTCAGATACCCATGACTGTTGGCAGACTCCGTCCTTTGCTGGAGTCAGTGTCCACAGTGCAGTGTTCCACAAGCATGTTCTCCAGCTCCCTGTGGGAAAAACAGGCACACAGTCACACCTTCGGACACAAGCAAACACTCCATCCGTACACAAAAAAAAGTAATCAAACACAATAAGTGAAGACCTAGCGGAAAACACAATTAGCAAATGCATTTTATATTCATCATCAACCAAACGAGCCACTTAGAGACTAACAAAATGGTGAATGACACTATGCACCTCTAAAATGAAGGTATAAGAAGGAATGGCCATCAGCCTTGAGGGGACACTTACCTGTGAATGGCTTTTCCTCCCAGAGGCAGGGCCTCCCAGGCTGACAGAATAGGGATCCCCTCATATACCTGTTTCAAAGCTAAGGACAGATAACACACTGGGAGCCATACAACAGCACAAACTCACTTTAGTTTTTCTTCAACATATTGCAGAAACCATTTACATGCTGCTTTAGGTCTATTACAATTCACATTGTGTAATCCCCACCTAACATTTCCAATGACTTGCTAACATTCTAAAACTTTCATGAATGTTATTTTAGCTATAGGATTTCTAGCTACTTCAGGTCTCCTCCTCTCAACAGCACTTTCAAAGAATTAACACAAAATCTATGTTCCATCTCTCATTTTCACACGTATTAACTTGATTTGCATGGATGAAAAGATCTTCTTTATGTTTCCTTTTTGACTAATTTGGTATAGCCAAACTATTTACGTTCTAACCACTCAAACTATCCAGACCTCTACGCAACCAATATAATGCAGCTGTTGGTGGTGCTGCTGGACAAGTAGCTAGTACTCCTCCATCTGGAACAGAATTCTGTAGCCAAAGCCACCAGTGCAGTGTGCTGTGAGACGTGCCATCTTTCAGGTGAGACATTAAACCAGTGCCTTGGACATGACAGATTCCACAGCCCTGCTTGGAAAAGTGGGGGTGATAACCCTGCCATCTGAGCTAAATTCCACCTCTGGTCTGCGCAATCTTACCTCACTGAATTTTCTGGGTAATTTGTTTAGGGAGGTAATTTCTCCCTTTCCCACCTGATCGGTTGTGTAGTGAAGGTACTGGTGCAAAATGGATACCACCCATAACTCAGGTGGGTTCTCCAGGTAAGTGGTCAATGAAGTAGGTTCTCCTTATGAAAAGTTCTATACAACACAAACAATTAGAATTATAACAACTTCCTCCCTCATTTTCCTTGTTGGATATCACATCTGAGAGGAAAAAAATGCCCCTCCCCTCTACTCTGCTAGTTCCGTGCTTTATATGTCTAACCCCGGTCTTCTCACTTAATGCACTTCTCTACAACCAGGCCAGGATACAGGCAGCACCAGGGTCTCCGTGTATCCGCAGTCCATCACCAGTGCGGAGTTGATGCCCAGGGTCAAAATTGACATGAGATGGCTGGGAGCAAAAAGGACAGAGGGGACCTGAGAAAGACCAGAACATGTTATAGGTTTGTTTTCACTGGAAGTATCAATACATTCAGATACTTTGGACTCAACAGGATTGATTTGCATCTACATCACAATGCATCTTTAATGCGTCACACAGGTCTTTAATGCAAGACCTATTCCAATAAGCATGTTGCTGGTATATGTAAATGGGACATTCTGGGTTTGTGTGTCTTGACAATACAGTTGATATTTTAACCAAAAACAGAAGTGAAGCAGCCAAAAACTTCTAATCACAGAGATTTCCCTTGCTTCGCTTCAAGAACACAGCCTGGTTCAATTTAATGCTCAAGCCCCTGCACTCTTTCAAGGCTATCCCTGTGTATTTCAGTGCTATACTTCAACAGTACCTCAAAGTGCTTGAAGAAGACCCTGCTGAGTGTCTCCCGAAAGTGAGAAGGGCAGAGAATTGATTCAATAACCACAACTCGCCTATCCCGGGGGTTCACCAGCAGATGTCTGCATTGCCGAGAAAGAAGACAGTACAGAGTTAGTTACCAGAAATCGACCCAGCTAGTTAGGTTAAGACAGTTGAAATTCAGAAATCTGGAGCTAGATTTCACCCATGAAAATATGCTTGAGGGGGGCTGTGGACTTCTCTTCCCCCAGCGTACTACTGTACTAATGGATTAAGTCTACGCTCTTAAGAGTTTCCAAGTTGAAACGGCTCAGACTACAACTAATCAAAGCAAGCGAGAGGAGCATGTCAGCACCTGAAGTACAGCATATGGATGAACTCCTTGAGGTTGGAGTACAGTTCCTCCGTATTGATGTTGTACTGAACCACTCTGATGGGCTGGAACAGACAGGAACACACACAGGAATTAATAATCCCTCACCCTTCCAGTCAGTGCTATTCCCTGCCTAACAGCAAGCACTGAGGGGGAAGTGTATTTTTGCAGAAATACGGTCATCGGATATTAAACAATTATTATAGCATGCTTCACCAGGATACTTTCCTGTGACTAAAAAATACCTAAGTGTTCCATACCCCTATGTTTGAAAATTCTCAAGACTGAGAAATACAAAATTTTTATAACTCATTTTAATCTAGTTCACTACTGTACATTAACGATTTTCATGTACAATGCTTTGTGAAGGTTGATTTTCCTCTAAAGGTGCACTTGTAATCGAGAACAAATCATTTGAATTGACTTGATCGATCTTCCAGCCTCACCTGCTGGAGTCCTGGTTTCTGAATTTCGCTAGGGATGATGCATCTGGGCCCCGTTTCACCAGCAAAGCCACATCTGGGAATAACCACAATCAACCCATTTCTGTTGTTACTTCCAATACAATTAAGTTTCAGTAGAGCGCTATAGGTTGATTTCACTCACTTGTGAAGAGCAATTCACATTTACCTGTGTACTCGGTTGTTTGGACTAGCCTAAATTAAGCCACATCCCGCTCTACAAGCAGAACCAATATATTCTACTGTATATTGAAAACAACCTGCTTCCCTACTGTATCAATACCATGCAACCGTGTACACACCAAGCACTTGTGGTGTTCTGACAAAATTAAAAATATGTAACTATCTAAAATTATTTTAGCATATATGTTACAGACTATTAACATACAGTATACAGGTATCATAAGCTATGGAAAAACGAAGGTGTTGCATTTTCTAAATGTGTATTCAATAATATGAATCGCGATACCGATACTAAATTGACACTGCTCTTCCTTCAATAAAAAGGAAAACAAATCTTACATGCAATTACATTGCATATACAGAACTATTCCTTTCAAAATAATGGACAAAAACAGACCTCCACAACTGTACTTACTTCGTGTAGGCAGCTCCTAGATCTATCACGACAGCCGTCTTCTCCCCGCCGCTTCCCAGACCCTCGAATAGCGGCATGTTAGACTATAAAACCAAAGTTCACTCTAAAATAGGGCAGATTTTTCTTTTCACAGCTTCACAAAGCAAAATTGTTCAGAACAGCAACACAGATAATTCAGCTGGTGGTGACGATGATGTATTCTGCAGTTTCTTCCGCCCTCAAGCGCGCAGGGGGTTGTGGGATATGAGGAGTTCCGGAGCACTATTTCTCCTTACCCAAACAAATGAATTGTTTATTCCTCTCACTTTAAGCTCTATCGCTGTTAAACATCTCCATTTAGGAGCAATGGTGGCATTGGCACACTTAGAGGACCCCTTCCTAATACATAAATATAAATTCTGCAACATTCCAAGTATTTTTTTCTGAACGAATAATATTTTATTTACATGTTATGTATAAAGGCTCTTAGTATATCAGTAGGAAGCTTCATTTTCAAACGGACGTAATCGTCGAAGTGTTTAAATAGACACGAGAAGCATTTTTTTATTTATTTATGCATAACAAAATAACACAAATTACAATACGAGAAGCAAATATACCATCGAGCAGATAGAGGTAAAGGAATCTCCGGATCTGTCCAAATCCCACAACTCCCCGCGCCACACGATTTTCAGTGTTTTTTAATTTTTTGTGTGAGTGACGTCGGAGGCTATGCAGTGAGTCTGGATGAAAAAAAAATGAAGATTGTTAAAGGATACTGTTACTGCCTTTATCTTTTAGATTTAATTATATAAATCTAGTTTGTTTCAAGAACCATAAAATAAAGCTCAATAGCTATACATCTCAAAATCGAAGCTTCCATGTTTACATTGATTCCTGTAATCTTCCAGAAACCACAAAAGCAGGGGCTTTTGTCGTGGGCTATATTGTATTTATACGACATAGACCCGTGTTATTTCAGGATTTTTTTTTCAGTTATTCATTTCTGGATGGGACTGGTTTCATGTAAAATGTATTTGAAAATAGAGTTGGAAACGCTGCTTAACAACAGCAAGAACTGCAACGCTAATTCAAGTATATAGCTACACACTTTACATACTGTGCATAGTCCATACCAAGGTATTAATAGAATGTACACTATATAGAAAGAAAACCTTCCCTGCAGTAGAAAAAAAATGGTCCACATTAATGTCCATTTTTTGTTTAGACTCAGATGTGACAGGTACTAGGAGGTATTGAATCTCCTGGACTGATTCAGTCAAATGGGCTGAAAGAAGTGAGGGATGTTGTTCTGAGGTGCAGTAATTAACAAAACACTTTCAGCGGTCAATCAGAACAGGAGTTCACCCTGATACAGTGTCACCACCCCTGCAGGTGAGATAAATGGAGGCAGGATTATCACATTTAGAAATCTGGAAGATACATTTAGGGAGAGTCTGGCTGTTTTAAGGGATATCTACAGTCTTACCTATCTATGGTGTCTGATTTTACAGAGCTATAATTTTCTTTTAGATTTTAGTTGAGTTTGTCCTGATGTACTTAGACTGCTAGTTGTTTTAGTCAATCATTTAACCTAAGCACAATAAAGGTACTGCACAAAAGCACAATGTGTGATGTGTTCACATTTTTCAAATCAGCTTCCTAAAATTCAACATATTCATTTTTGGAAGGCCTGAAGAACCCTCATATACCCATTACCACACCTATCTCTACTTACTGTTTCCATCATCCTAAACGGAATAGATGTGAAATGTACAGTATGGGTTTATAATGATCTGATACGGTTTTGTCGCCCTTTTTATGGGTGGGTGCTGTGTGAGCTATTTTCAGCTCAAATGTGTAGGAAGACGGAAGTATTGATCCCAGGACGAAATATGGTAGTGCTTTATTTTTTCATGATGTGAAGAAGATAAAAAAAGAATCCCAGAATAACACAGTTGCCTTGCAATTGTCTCTCTTTTTTTTACAGAAGCTCCTATAGACTGCAGTCGCCAGTCTCACACGCACACACACAGCTCAGAATCACACGTCCATCCACTCACCAGCTACAGACCCACACAAACAGACCCCTCACACCCCTACCTTACGGTCTCGGCGCCAGCTGCCGGACCGATAACGACTATTTCTGTTATTAAATCGCCATAGAGAAGACTTTGTCGCAGTCCTGGCGTCTCTACCAAACCGGCGGTTCTACGAAATGACATAAATAGATATCGACAGGTACAGTAAGTACAAAAGCGTTTATTGTGTTGTAATCTTATCCTGGCTATTGTTTTCACTGCCGACTTAATGAGGCATGATGATTCTCCACTATAGTTTAATATGTTGGTGTTGTTCAGAAAAACGGTTTTATTTAAACAGGGGGTTTATTATTGTTTGAGGATAGATACCTTTAATACACGCACAAAATGTATGCTTTATATCTATAAGCTACGATATTTGTGGATTGTGTTGGTTTGCTTTAATACATAGACACTGCGTGTTTGTACGACGTGGAAATAGCAGGTGAGGCTATCTCGACCTACCCTACAGCTAGGAACTGTAATGTACATTGATGAGAATGCTGGAAAGTCGGCTTTCGTTATTAATCTCGGCTATTATTAAAACTCAGCTTTCTGCGCCGGGAGCAGGGGTGTCAGTTCGCACGTACTGTACTCGGCTTCCAAACCTTCCAAGCCTGTGCAAGTGCAAGTACTGTAAGCGCAGGGCCATTGTCTTAACTGAAGAATTAAAGGTGTGTCTTATTGGGATGTGGCCCTTGTTACATAATGTAGTAGTCTAATAACAATAGGAATTTCCTCTGAGGAAAAGCACGTATTCATGAAACGAAAGCTTGATTGATGCGGACAGGACGGAGAAACCGATATGGAAAAATACAAGATGTGCTTCTGGCTCGGACTAAGTGCCTCATCTTTTGTTGTGTCTTCGGAATTGAACACAAGAACATGGGAGCGCCGTGTTCTGAAGGGAGTTACTGGCGTCTCTGTGTGTTCTGAGCTCAAACTGTCTGCGCGGCGGCGCTTGTCTGTGGAAGACGGCAAAACGAGGAATCGGCCTTTGCTTTGATCGGGCGGTGTGTCTTTGAGCTTGTTCCCAGTTACGTCGTGGAGTTCATGCAGTCAAAACGCTCCCGGAGCCATTCACTGACATTGCGATCATTGTGCTACAAAATGAAAAGCTTACACAATCACATATTAGTAACAGAATCATTCATAGTGCGTTATTTAAAATAACATGTTACTGAACTTTAAGAGAGCGTGGACGGCTTGTGAGAGGGGAGAGGAGGCTATAAAGAAAACGATAAATCAGCCTCAATGGCCTGTCTATACAGTATGCTAAAGCCCCTGGGAACTAATGTTCCACTTATGTTTGGTTCAGTTATTAGATAGGGAGAAGGCTGATGTCTTCAATGACTTAAAGAGAAATACAAAACTCTACTTCATTTGAATTGTATCCTAACTGATGAACTCTAATTGATCTGAGGCCCATAAAGCAGCAACTAGCAGACTGACTGACGGCGGTCTACACAGGCCTTCTGACTTGTGGGTTTTGTGTGTCTGGAAGCATGTTAGTTTTTCTTCGCTGTAGGAAGGCGTTTACACAGATGGCAAAAACAAATACGACCATGCTGTCTTTTCAAGAAATGTTAAAGCTGTAATTGAATTAGGCAACAATAATACAGCAGTGGTTAGCATTGCAGCCTCGCAGCACTGGGGACTTGGGTTCAATTCCGTGACTGAGGCGCTATCTCTGTGTGGAGTTTGAATGTTCTCTCTGGGTTCGCGTGTGTTTTTCACCACGTGCCCTGGTTTCCTTCCACAGTCCAAAAACATACTGGTCCGAGTGTGAGTGTGTCTGCCCTGCCATGGACTGGCGTCCCGTCCAGCGTGTATCCCGCCTTGGCCCCATTGCTTGCTGGGATAGGCTCTGGCTCCCCCCGCAAACCTGTACCGCATAAAGTGGTTCGAAGATGGCTGGATGGAACGATAATACAAAAAATGTCTACACTCCTTTAGGGGAAAATGAGTAGCAATAATAATATTTTCAAGATGTTTTGCAGGAACGCTATTAATCACTCACGCCTCCTTTTGTCTTTGTTCCCCGAGCTCTTCACGATGACCTGGGTGTGATCTTCACCATCGATGGCAGCCTCCACACCCAGCTTGCTCTGAGAAATGGAGTGTTCCATGACACTGCGACTCCTCCTTCTCGCCTGGTGGTGTGCTCTGGCTGGTGCCAGACCAGTGCAAACTAAGGAGTTAGCTACACCCTCCCAAAGGGATGGAGAGAGCACGACCGAGGGTGGGCAACCCCTGGGGTTGCTTGGGGTGGGCTCGCCGATGGCCGGAGAGAAGAAGCCCAGTGCAGCTGTTGCTGAGGGTTTTTTCCTTGACCCCAGTTCCATATCTACAAAACCTACGCCACCTTCAATCCAGGCCCTCGCTCTGAGCACAGAGAAGAAGAGCGAGTTAAGGATCGGATTCGGCGGAGGGTCGAAAAGCAGTGGGCCGACCGGTTGGCCAGCTCTGTTCGGTGAGAGCGAAGTGTCTCATCAAACACAAAGGCTGAAGGCTGACTTGAGGAGCTCAGGGGTGCGTGTTGAGAGCAGTGCTTTCAGCCCCACTCCTCTGTCCGGAGAACAAGGTGGAATGCCAACCCCTGCTGTCGTGAAAGACAGCGGTGGCCCAGAACGGGGAGCTGCTTCTTTAGGAAAGGCAGCACTGGCCAGGTACCAAGATACCCCAGCTGCACAGGCGGACAAAGATGACAGTCACAGTCATTTGGGTTTGTGGAAGAATACAGTCGCAATGGAGGCCGGTGAAAGCCAGTTCTCGACTCCAATAGGATCCCTCAATCAGGTGCTGGAGAGGAGGAGGGAGGATGGACCTGGAGTGGGGAGACTTGCCCAGGATCGGAGCCAGAAAAACATTGAAGAGGGTCTGGGGACCCTGCCTAGTGAGGTAGAGAGTTTAGATGCTACGGGATCAAATGCCACAGGCGTTGCTTTAAGTGACTCTCCCCAAGCTAAAAATTGGGAATCAGACACTGTTAGGACTCAAGGTGCTAAAATTGTGAAGACCACCTCCAAGCCATTCAGATTGAGTACAGCTGGACAGGAACGGCCTCACCAGGCAGAGACACCAATGGTGTCAGAAGGGAGAGAGACAGACTTGTCAGACAACATGGAGGCCACAAACCTTGATGTTCCTGGGTTTCAGGGTCAAGAAGAACAGGAATCTGATACAGCCCTTTTGGCAAAAACCGGGAATAGCCAACATCCATGGGCTCAATACAAGGATGGGAATGAAAATGGAGCAGTGCTAAGTGAGAGAGAGAGAAAAACAGAATTGCTATCTTACGCAAAGCTTCCTAGTGCCACTGGAATACATGACAGAACCCGAAATAAAGGAACACTAAGTGATACGAGTGAAATGGCTTTGCTGGACAGGACACCTTTCTTCTCACACAGCACTTCCTCCACAGTCAGACTTGTTTCAGAGGTTAGGCTGACTGAAGAATTGGATGACTCCCTGCATTTTACATCTCTGGCACCAGAACTGAGAGAAAACAGGGCTACGATTGCTCCATCGAGCCCCAGGCCAAACCTGAGCCTCACCTCCAGCAGCTCTCCAGGGCTGACAGCTAGCCCAGGAGAGAGCTTGTCTCAGGCCAGCACCCATGAAGACCCGGGGCCAGCATCCTCCATTCCCACAGGAGGATGGGGGCCTAGCAACAAACTGGCTGGGGAAAGCTGGCTGGCTGTCTCTGCTGGCCCTCAGGCAGAAGATCTGGTGCATCAGACTGGAAGTAAGTGTGGGGTTTGTGATATGCAAAATGTTAATCTCTTCAGAGGTTCAGTGTTTTGTCTGGGCATTCTCAGTGAGATGGTTTCAAATTGTGTTCTGGTTTAAAACTGAAGTGAATGCATTCCAAATTACTGTAGGTGTCTGAAGATACAATTGTGTATTGGACTTAAATTACAACTGATGCTGCTTAGAATGAGGCCATGTTTGAATTCTCTAAAATCCATGACAGAATGAGGACAGTGTTGTTTACTTGGTGGATATCCGGTCCCATTTAAGCAGCAACAATCCAAAGGAACAGATATCTCATTGTTATAGTTCTATTCCATAACAGGGCACATAGCCTTACTGAGAACTCCACAAAGAGCACGTTTTTGCTTTCCTGAGTGAACAGTGGACTGAATCATACTTAAGTATTGTTGCTAATTGTGTGTTGCTGTATCAAACGCAGAGCTCTGTGTATTAAATACAGAAATGCAGTCACGCAGCAGTGATAGCCTTTGATTATCTTTGTTAATTAAAGCCACTCGCCTTAATTTGCCTTGCTCTGAGTTCCAACACGAGTGAAAGCTGGGCTAATTAATTGCTATTTGAGACTCTGTGGTGAAAACAGGAGTATGAGACTGAGACAAAAGCTCCTAAGGGTATTACACAGTTAGAGGGAGAACTTTTTACTGAGATTTTTAATGTATATATATATAATTTACATGTTCAAGTGTTTAAAACCCGATGTTCTTTTTTTAAATAGTGGCAGAGTCCCCATCCCCACCTGTGACTGTAAAGGTCAGTGCTCCCCATTCCACATTGTTAACTACAAACTCTGTGGAGTCTCTCCCTGTCACAGCCAAGACAGTGGACATTTCGTGGAGCAACGCTGGCACAGAGGGTACCATCCTAGACCCCGAGGTGGAGTGGACACCACTACCTGAGGAAATCCCACTGCTCTTTGAGCCTTCAGCTTACACTGTTGCTGACAATTACCCACTACTATCAGAAGTATTAGTAACTCTGCCCCCTGACGGACCCCCACTGGGATCACAGTCGTTGGTCACAAGGATTTCTAGTGCGTATTTGCTGCTGCCAGAGGGGACAAGTGCTGCTTCCCCTAATGGAGCCCTGAAGGAGTCCCTGTCGGGGGCGCCCGTCACTGTACTCCCTGCTGGGCCTTCCCTGGCATTACAGACGGCTAGCTCGGAGGTCTCGGAAGAAGTGGGGCCTCCGCTGATGACATCGATCACGTCCCCCGCTCTAGGTCCAAACCTGGAGAATTGGAACATCGGGTTTGAAGGTGAGACACTGGACTTAGTTTGTATTGTTTCCATTCATCACTTTGCCAAATACATTAGCCAATACTGGGTTGCAATGAGCTGTAGCCAATGAACACAAGAGGGAACCTGCCAGCCCATCACAGGGCACACACACATGCACTCATATAGTGACAATTTACAGATGCCAGTTAACCTAATCTGAATGTCTTTGGTCTGTGAAAAGAAAGCAGACCACCCAGAGAAATCAGATACAGTGCTTTATTGTATTCAATTTTTAGAAACAGAAAAATGTGTTCTGGTGAAAAAAGAGTTCTGCTAGGTGAATGTTTATCCTCAGCTTGATTGTAATACCCCGATGATTATACCAAAGTATCTTTAAAGTATAGAGCACTGTTTATTATGGATAGGCAGCTGCATGTGTATGTATGTGTAAGGTTAATCATGCTTGCTTCATGCTAAAGTTCTTATGAGAATTCTTCCACAAAACTGGAATCTGCTTTCTCTCCTCATTGCAACAGAACTAGATACAACTAGTACTCTGGAGGAAGCCCTTCCCAGTACTCCTGAAACCCCACCCCCTGGAACTTCTCCTGAGCAACCTTTCCTCACAACTATACCCAAGACAACCAGCCGCTCCACTCTGAGACCTGAGTCAGGACTGGAAGACCTGGAGAAACTGGAGTCAGAAGGTAGAATGTGTATATCGGGCAACCTCCCATTGAAAGAGTAAATAACTTTATTTTCTAAAACTTGTTTCAGCATGCGTCTCTCTGTCTTAACGCTCACTCGCATTTTCCTAGCTGAGCTTCTTTGTTTTGAAAATGTCATTCCTTTTATTCTAGTCTTCACATAGAATGTCGGAAGCTTCATAACATGCACCTGTAAGAAAACATGCTCTGCTTCTTTGCAGTGGTATTAGGAAGGCTGTAAAAGCATCTCTCATCCTTTTAATGGGATGCAGACTGGTGAGCTGCTCAAATACACAGTGTCAGTGCCGACTATAGCCAGTGAGCACCGTGGCTTCTGTGTTTCAGAGGAGCGAGACAAAGAGGATGAGGAGGACGAAGAGACTGAGGAATCTGAGGAAGAGGAGAGCCACGAGGACCAGGCGGAGCTTGTCAGCACTCCAACACCCTCTTTCGGCCATACTCCCTACCGACTGCCCTCCAGCTCGCAGTGGGTACAGCACAACCAGGGCCTGGGTAAGTGAGGGAGTCTGGGACATTGACTAGGGTCAAAGGGGACCAGACTTGCTCTTCAAAATGTGGTGGGGCTTGGTAGATTTTCTGAATTTCACACTCATCAGACAGGTGGAATGAAGGCTGATCCTTTCTTTCGTTAGGTTCTGAACCTTCAGCCATTTTGATATAGGTAATAGGGCTAATTTCTATGTTTAGTTCACTGCTCCAGTGTTGTTCTAATGGAAGGTGTCAGAAGCGTTGGCAAACCCTATACTGAGAAAGAGACTAGCTTGAAGATCATCATAAAGCAGCAGTAAGTGACAGAATTGATTTGACAGTTATGAAAATGATCAAATAATGCTTTATATGAGAATCTTTTAAGTTGTTCCGGGACTTTAACTTCCAGAGCGTAGTAAGGTAAATGTAATGAAAATGTTTCCATGGGTACATGCAGTGATTATCCATTAATTATCCTTTCATGTTAAAGGGTCCAACTGTACGGTACTTGCTTTTACTATTTAGGGCTTGTACCATCACTCATTTTAATATGTAACAAACACCAAACACATGAATTAATGGCCAAAATCCCACTACACTAAGCACTCATTAGGTCCCTGCCCATCACATAACTTCATTCTGTAGGTCAGCAGTTCCCAGCTCTGGTCCTGAAAGAACACCGTATGTTCTGGTTACTGCTCCACCCGATTTCTTAATTAAAGGCTAATTGATTTCAGTTTTCAGTTTGAAGTATATTTGTAAATCTGAAGTAGTAGTATGGTACTTGGTACTTGGTAGTAGTAGTTAATACTTCAAGTACTCTAGTTCAAGTAGGAGTTATTTGGAAATCTATTGTCAGCTCTTAAAAATTAAAATGTGAAGTGTAGTTGGTATCATCTTTGTATCAAGAGTCTGAGAGCTCTGTGGAGGGAACAAACACTGACAGCTGACGTGTCTGGTACATCGTCACCTGTGTGTACGCTATTAGTTGATCAACATACAAGAACTGTTTAGTCAGAAGTAACAGCAAGCAACAAGCAAGCTGAAGAGAAGCTGTGCGAAGTTGTGTTTGCTGAAGTTGTTGGAAACAACAACCAGATCAGATAAAAGTCTTAAATTGTCACTGGAGGTGTGGACCTCAGCTAGAATGGAAAACAACAAACTTTTTCTCCAGGACGAGGGCTGGGAACCATTGCTATAGGATACTATATATTCAGAGCTTCCTGCTGAACCACTTGTCTCCCAACTATTTGGAGTAAGTTCAGTCATGAATATCTAAGAAATGCTATTTTTTAAAGCCCAAATATCAACATAATAATCATGCATCATATTAATGATATCCTCTATGTAACATATTCTGCAGGAGACATGTGATTCTGCAGAACATTCTGATTCTGCAGAATTCCCCAGGGAGTGAGGCATGTCAAACATCCAGCGAATGTCCTGAAAGATATGAACAGTCGACTGTCATCTGCAGTGTCACACAGAACCATTCAGGAAGACTACACATGTCATCACAGATTTCTCCAGCCTTTGGCGACTGCTCCTGGCTGTGAGATTGTTCTGCACTGGGTTGTCGATTTCAGTTCCGTCCAGCAGGTGTTGGTAAAGATGCTTAGAAAAACCCCTGAGCTGCAGTCAGCATGCCCAGCAGGGGGCATTAAGCTCCCAGGTTTATTCTCATGTCCGACACAGTAGCAAAACAGACATTTGTGTCTTTCGATTTTAACGCCTTAGCTTTAAATACTGGATATGTGTTTCTACGCTTATTTTAATTCAAGGACTTTGAGAATTATTCTGTATTGTATTCTTGAGGCTCTCAACCTCACATGCAGTTTTCATACAGTAAAATCACATTAATAAAAGACAATGGAAATAGCCAGATCCAATAAATGAGTACTGTACGACCATTTTCTCCCTATCCCTGCTTTCAGGTTTAGCTGGTGCTAGGTGTGGAATGAGTATTCTGGCTTGTAAGGTCTGCCACCGTTACTGGTCTTTACTATTGGATTCGTTTTTTTTTATATCCAGAAAGTGTTGCGTAAGACTGAAAGACAGACAATGAGGATAGTGTTGGGGGCTATTGCAGCAGCTGCACTTGATGAAATAGCCCGTTAGCACATCTAAACAGACATTTTTCACATCTGGCCAATTCCACAACACCTTTTTTTGCAATAGCAACAAGGAAGATTATTTTTCATAAAGTGTGCATTTTCATAAGAGAGACATTGCTGTCAATTATTGGAGTATTTATTTTTAAAGAACGATGGCAAATAGGCAAATGCATACGGCAGAGCGTGTGAACCAAGAGAAATGGATCGTACTAATGAAAGTAATAATGGCAGAACAGCATGTCTGTTCCTGGACTTCCTTCTCGGTGCATCTTAGTAAGCACAGTGGTTAACAGGCAACCACTCCCCAGCCCTGGGCAGAGAGATGGTTCTCGATCCCAGCGGATATAGAGCAGGGGCAGGTCACTGGGCATTGAGTCCATCTCTGCTACAGACCTCTGTGCTGCCCACTACAGAGGTGCCATGGCTGGAAAGACTCTCTCACTACCGTGTGCCACACTCCACTTTGCCAACAGACAAATACACTTTGGCTGCTATTTAATTTTGATCAGGCTGTTTTAATCAAAACGGAGCTCGGAAGAAAACTCCCATTGCAAACAAATGTGGCTTCCTGGTCTCATTTATTTTCTTTTGACACATAATTGTGCATGTTATGAGATTGTCATAGCATTTTCTTTTGCTCTAATGACACATCAATAAGCTGCTGTCCTGGCCTGTGTTACTGCAGTTCAATCATGCCACAGTCCTGCCACAGTTCCCACTTGCTCACTTCAATAAAGCAGTAAAGCCTGTTAGCTGTGGTGTAAACTGAGGATTTATGCTTGTTAATTAAGAAGACACAGAAACGGCATAATGGATGCCTCAGTGATTGATCTGATCAGTTTGGGGAAGAACGTGACTGGACTACGGGAGCAGGGACAGGTATATTCAGCCTGTAGATTGTGCTGGAGCAAGATCCAGACAGTGACAGAAATCCAGGTGGTCTGTGCTAATGCAATATTTACTTACTCACTGATGGATTTCCTTTTCATCTACAGAGACTCGAAAAGACATGTTACACCTCTAAACTGTACGGCCAGCATGTAATGAGCTTACATGAGGGGAGGGGGGTATTGCCTTCTCTTGTTTGTCAATCCTTTTACTGGATGGGAAAAAAGCCAGTCACATTGAACTGAAGAGCCATGTTCGTTTTTCATCGGAAACACTGGGACCGGTCCTTGTTCCCGACGAGTCAGCAGTACTGATCTCAGGCCTTCTTGCTTCCTCCCTTGGCTCTGGCGTCCCTCATAATGTGCTTTTGGCACCGTAATGGACGAAATGAGGTGGCTTCTCTCGAATGTTAATTTTATGATGTAGGTTTTATACGGTCATGATTCTAATTTTCTGAAGAGCTGCCTATTAGATGTTACGGGGTGAGGTGTGGGTGGGTCTGTATGCCTGTGCTGAATGTGCTAAACCTGGCCCCAGGCCAAAAAAAAAAGATACATATGCTTTAAACATCATTGTCAATGCATTCAGTGGGTCTGACTATGCTAATTTGCCTTAAGGGCTTTGTAATGGAAAGCCAGCCACTTGTTGGTAAACGTCTTTAAAACAGGGCTCATCCCATCCTGAGTCTAGGAGCTGGTCTCCTCGTGTGCTGTGAAGTTAGAAAAATCCGGGGAGGTTGTTTTTGCAGTAGATGTGTTGTTTTGCGTTTTGATCTTCAAACAGCAGCTCCCTGTGGGTGTGGGGGAAGGGCACCACATCAACATCAAACGAGTTGGGGCACAGCCTCCGTTCATTATGCTAGGCCTTCATCTGGGAGTCCCGCCGGCAGAGTGCCTATAGCAGAGTGTGCGAAGGAAGCGTGTGCCTGTTGGGAGACTGACTGTGCAGCTTAGGCCTGCAGTGGACAGTGCAGGAGACCGTGGACCATGAATGAGTGTGCCAGGTGTCACGGACGTCCAAAGGGACTAACCGTGGGGAGCAGGAGAGCGGAAAAAGACCCATATGCGTAGCGGCGAGACGAGAAAAAGGCCCGGGCTCATTAGTGCAAAGAGTTCAGGAATGCCGTATAGAAACCTATGCCCTCAGGGAGCGGACGTGGGGCGCCCTGGTGCTAGGCGGGTCTCAGGACATCCAAACGTCAATGCTGAGCGAGGACAGAGTGCAAGACCCGGAAATATATAGCCCAAGGGAAAGAGAGGGACAGGAAGGACAGCAGACCGGAAACTAGGGACAGGTCAGAGAAGGAGCGCCCTCTGGCTGCAGAGGGCGTGACACCAGGGTCATGAGCCGGACAGCCCGAGTGACGCGTGGAAGTGTGAGAGAGATGGGAAGTGTTAATCTCACTGCAGCAAGATGGATTTGAGTTCCATCCTAGCTAAGTGTCCAAGATAGTCGGAGCCAATGCAGAGTGCGGAGTGTGTCATTTTTCCTGACCATCCGAGGACACGCTGCCAGTGATTGTTGGGTTAATAGGAATAAGAACTGAAATATACAGGGAATCCGATAATCCAGTAAAAATGAAGAACAAAGAGAATTTCTACTATATGCTATTCTGTACTATGTTGTTCAGGATCCTGGCTTGTATTGATTAGTGTTTTTACAGGTACAGCCCTAATGGAAAGCTTCTGAAATGGTATTGTTCCCTGGAGGGAGTCGTAAAAAGACAATTGCAGAGACTTGAGAACGTGTTGCGTGTAAAACAGCGTGATATTTTCTAATCTTGCTCTGTCACTGAGAAGGCACATTATAACCCGATTGTTTATGAATTACTAAGAAAGATAAGGACACACATTGCTAGTCAGAGCCGAAGAGGCTAAGAGAAAGTCATAGCTCTTGCTAACTCCTTTCCTTTAGGGCTTCAGAGCAGAGACAGTATCGTTTGTAATGCTTCCATTTTTCTTTCTGCCAGCGATGAGAAGGCAGATTGTGATCCCAATGCAGGTGTCTTTGAGATTTTTAAAAATATTAAGTAGATTATGCTTGTTCATAATTTTGTGGTGACACATTGATTGCAAAAAAAAAAAGAGCCACTTTTGTCCCTGGTACAAACCCCAGTTTATAAGCCAACTTATCTGTCAGAAGATCAGGCTTCTGGTTATCTTTGGTCCTGAAAACGAAGCCTTTACAAGGCTGTGAAACTACCACTGCTAGCTCACTTCTATGTCCAGCACTATCTTCAACACTGTGTCCTGAGGGTGCTGTTCTTCTCTATTAGCTGTGTTACAGGACTTTTAACACTGAGTATGTTTCAAGGGTGACTCCCACAGCAGAGAACCTGGTCTTGTAATGTAGTGAAGTTCAGCACTGTCTGGGCAGTGGTGCTGTGTGTGCTAAGAGCCCTTGAGTGAATCCCAGCAGGGGCAGTACACTAGTCACCCAAGACCCAGTCTTTTGGCCTGGTGGAATTCACTGCAGTCTAGGAAGTGACGCTGCGTTGCCCCGGGCCCCACAGATGGCCGTGATCAAATCCCGCAATCCTTTCTTGTCTTCCGTTTGGAGCTGAGCTGCACTATGTATTCCTAGACCATCCATGGAAGCACCAAGGCGAAGAATAATTTTGACTGTGATCATGAAACAGCTCGGTATTCACGGCCACTCTCCTTACTTGACCATTCCCACATGTCCAATATAATCAAGCGTAATCTACCACTATGCTGAAGAGCTATTTAAATTATGACACAGACATTTTAAGGGCCTTGGCTCCATTCAGTTCTTTAAGTCACTTGAACCAAAAGCTGATGAATGGTTTTCTGGGTGCAATAAGACTTCAGAAAGACTGAATGTCATTTAAACATTTTCAGGATATCAGTTCCCACCACGTGGCTGGATCTTGTTCCAGAGCCCCATCAAACTTTGCGTAAAGAAGTAGCTGAGACTTGTTCAGATATAAGTCATTTACACAAGGCAGGGATCAATGGGGGAATAACACAAGACGGAGAGGGATGAATGGAGCAATATTGTTGCAGCTTTACATCCCATGTGGGACAGCAGGAAGTAACTACGTTGTATTTAACTTGTGATCAGTGAAAGCACTGTGATCAGTGAAAAAGTTCACAATGTAAAAATAGCAAGATTATTGGACAGTCTTTTCATATTCTTGAATCATGCACGTACCATGTGTTTACTTCACACAGCACCGGTTCCCCTTGGCCCTTACCAAACAGGCCACATTTTTTGATTTTACCATGATGCTGTTGAAGTTTTCCACAGTCCGTCCTTGGGCTTTGTAATTTTCCAGCTTGTGTCAAAGGCAAGCTCAGCCAAGGAAGTGAGCTCATTGCACCTTTCAATCTGAAATGCTGAATGGCAGCAATCAGGTCTGGAGTTGGAGTAACATCCATTATCCTGGCAGAGATGCTGGACCTGGACACATGGCCAGACAAAGTGGCTTATTAGCAGTGGGCAAGAGGTGTCGGAGCTATAGGGGGATGCTGGCAGGGGTACCATGGCTGGTTGATAATGGAGTTGTGCTGAAGGAAGGGAGAGGAGTGATGCTGGAAACAGGGACAGAACCTGACACTGGTTAGTTAATTAGGAAGCCATTTATTCTTTTCTCCTCCAGTGATCAGAATGATCTGAAATTCTGGAGGGAGAGCCTGAGGTTTCTGTACCTCTTGGTTCACCCCTTTGGGCATTCTGCACGGAGGCAGCGATTGAAGGCTGGGGTCAATACTGTTGTATGTTGAAATGTCCTGCCTTTCCGCGGTGATCTGTAAATGGGAATGTATCTCAGAGATGATTGCATACATAAGCTATAATGCCTTCCTTTTGCCTTTCAGTGCGCAGCTGGGTGGAGAAGATACGAGACAAGGTAAATACCTAAACTGCTGCTCCTTCTCCTAGCCTCTCTTTTGCCTGAGCAGATGAGTAAAATGTCAGCGCAAGTGAGTCACTAAAATGTCCTGCCATTGTGGCATTAATTAATCCAGTCACATACTGTAATTTGCAGAATAAAGGTCTACTGGGCATGTGTACCCTGTTAAGGGATAAGACTTCACCACTGTGCTTTGATTACCACATTGTGATTGATATTTGGCACAGCAGGCAGCTCTTTCTGTCCAAGAGCAGAAGGTCACCTGCATGATTCTGAGAAGGGGCTGGTAAAGACATCAGCAACCTGAGCTGACCGGCAGTCTTTCTCTCAGTGTGACTCACACTGCTAGCCTACAGGTTGCAGGCCAATCTCAGGCTACTATGCAGCATTAGTAGCATTAGTAATCTTGCCGGCTTGTCTTTTAACCCCTGCTTACATGTGCAGGCAGGGTACGTGTCTGGGATGCTGGCTCCAGTGGGCATAGGGATTGCAGGCGCACTCTTCATCTTAGGAGCTCTGTACAGCATCAAGGTGATGCATCGCAAGAGGAGGAGCAGCTTCAAACGGGAGAGGAGGAAGGTAAGGGGTTGGTGGGGGGTGGGGAGGTAAAAGAGAGCTTGGGGACAGAACAGGATGAGAAATGGAAGGAGGAGATGAGGGGGAAAGTAGATGAGGGCGTAGGGAGAATAGGAGAGAACTATCAGACAAATTGCCATGCTTGCCCCGCCCTTCATCTTGCACGGTCTCCAGGCTTTAACGAACGCCTCTCGGGCGATCCGTGTCTCCAGCGCAGGGAGATGAGCAGCCGGCAGGACAGAGTGATGCTGCTGGCCGACAGCTCCGAGGATGAGTTCTAGCCCCTCCCATCGCTCTGCCCCCTTCAGCAATAAAGTTCCTCCACATTCCCCACCAGCTCTTCTCGCCAGTGGCCCCTGAGATGTGCGCAGACCCCAGTTGCAACACCTGTTGTCACCCGCTGCCTTGCCTGGAACCCTGCGACTTCTGGCAGGGCGACTGGGCGTCTGACCCAGACGTTCCCGTCCTACGCCAGGACTGCGCCAACATGCCAGGACTGCGCCAACTGAGCCGCCACATGACTTCATCAGGGGAGCCTGAGGGAGTGGCAGCGACAGGCTTCTCTCAGATGGGACACAAGTAAGGATCTCATCCCGACGCTGTAGCTGAGCCAGGCGTGGAATGCAAGACGCCTGAAAATTATTGTAGAAAATAAATGTCTCTTAGTACAATAAGCTGAAACAATGTGAATGCCAGAGGTTGGACCTCTCTGCTTCTATGTGCTCTTCCTCAACTGTTTGCAGAGGGCTTGCATGAGCCCTGGACACCAACTCCCTCACTGGGTCTCCCTTGTGAAAAGCGGACGGAGCTCACCTGTAGGAATGTGCTTTAGGTAATTATCAGTCACCGTATTAGTAGAGCTCACCACCATGTTAACTAGATGTAGTGTTGTATGTTCCACCAAATTACTGTCCAATTGAATTGCACCCTTCTGACATGACTGTCTCTTTTTTAGGAGTGTTAGAGATATTAACAGTAATACTATATGCCTTGCATGTTAAGGTCTCAGTACAACAAGAATTGAAAGAGGGAAAAGCACTTTATTATTATTGTTTCTGTTTTACTGTTATCGTTGTTGTTAAGTTACTATTGCGATTTCCTGAGCTATTGAACACAAAGCAATTTCTCCTATTTGTGTACATGTTTAATCAACCTAGCACTGACACTGGAAAGGCAAACAGAATGATACAAGATCAAAATCAAAGTGTAGACTTCAGAGCATTTCAAATTGTGCAGTGCTCCACCAGGTTGCAAAACGATATTGCTGCTCTGGAATCAGTCCTGAAAACAGTGACCAGGTACAGTACATTTCTGGGCTTGAAGGAAAGTCCTACTCTGACAGGCTGAGAAGAACAACCAAATCTTGTTAGTCTCACAGTGGAAACTATTAGGGGATCTGAATGAAGTATTCAAATTCCTCAAAGGGGCTGACAAACTCAGCCCAATGACAGCGCAATGTGAACCGGAAGACACAAAATAAAAGGGAAATACTTTTAAACTGGAGCCTAGGAGTCCTGTCTTTACAGACAGGGGTTATGGGGATATGGAACAAGCTACCCAGCCATGTTGCTGAAGCTGCCTTGGCTTCTTTCAAGAAACAAATGAATGAATCCTTGAATCATTAACTACTAAATTCCAAATGGGTCAAATGGACTCCTCTCGATTCCAACCATGCTTATAGTCTTTTGCTAAACAGAAAAGAAAAATACCACCATCATCCGTGGATCATGCTTCATATACAGTATATATATATGATGTACAGTAGACTGACACAAAGCATGTCTGTAGTTTTAGTTGTAGACCAAAAAGCATGGCGATAATGAGACTTAAATGATAGAGTAGTTCAAGCACGTTCTTCACACCCAAAGAAGGCTCCACAGCCGAAACGCTGCGTTTTTCTTCTCTTTTCAGCATGGAATAAACCTTTTACTTGTTCCCTTCAGTGATAGAGCTGTCCAACTAAGGTCCTGTACCCTTCCTGTAAAATAGAATATGAATCATTTGGGTCTCCGTCCAGCAGAACTCCATACTATATTCCACCGCTTTGTGTTCAAAGGCTGATCCTTTTGTGCAGCTTTTATAAAAGTGCTGTATGTAAGATTTTTTTTTTTTTGCTGATGCCTCAGACTTCCCTCCCCCAGCTCCTGCTGGAGAGATGCAGGACTCCGGTCCTCGCACAGAATGATTACACACCTGCAGCTCCTCGCCTGTGTGCTTGTGTGTATGAACTTGGGGCTGGGTGTTTGCCAGGCTTTCTGTTTTGATCCCACTGAAGATTCATCTGTTGGCTGTAAGACAAGTTCTTTCCTTCCTAATCCCGGGCGTGAATAAGTGTGATGGGAAGGACAGGGTGGGATATTCACAAACCAGCCCGCTGCTGTGTGCTGCAAATGTGCCCTGTTATGCAAACGTCTAATAAAAACTGCCAGATATTTCTCAGTTAGTTTGTCAGAATGTTTAGCATAATAATGGGGGCTTCAGACAAAAACATCATGATGTAGCACGATAAAAGTTTTCATTTAATGCATCCTATCAGCGAGCTTTTTTTAAGGGTGTTCATTGCAGGCTGAAAGGCAGATCAGCAATAAAAACCAAGAAATTAAAAGTATTTGTTATGACATAAAGTCAATAATCATCCATTCCATAATTCTATTCTGGGCTTCCAGTGTCAGTACTGCAGCATGACCTCGGTTTTTTTGGCGTGGATTTGGTTCCAACCCCTGTACCTTCCAGCCAGTGACTTCATTGTGTTGCCTTGAGGAATGGAAAGCTTTGCACAAACAACAGTAGGTTAGAGGAGAGAGGCCCCCTTCCGCCTGGGGAGGGGGAGTCTATGTTGAAGAGGGCTTAGCTCCTGCAGTCTTGATTGGAGGGGATGCAGGCAGGTCTTGTGCCAAAAAAGCAAATCGTTTGTGACTTTCTAAGATTGTCATTTTTTTGGGTATTCTTAAGTTATTGCACTGTCCTCTCCCTGTCAATAAATAATAAAAGAACATGCTGAAACTAGGTGGTTTTCAATTTTTTTTTGGGGGGGGGGGAGGATCCAACAAGAAACTCTAAGATGAAACAAGAAGCTGGTCCAAATAGCAGGCCTGCAGCTGGATTCAAACGCACTTCACTTCCCCTCTACGTTACAGTTGTCCGGAAGAGTTCAAATCACATCAGGTATTCCTGTTAATGCACTGGGGGTCTGAGCTGCTGGTGGATTGTGGCTGACATTCCCCAATACTGCCTTCGTGCTTGGTGCTCTTAGCCAGGGTGTCTTCAGTTTTCTGTGCAGCAGTGAGCCCCTGTCTCTTGCAGTGTGCAATACAGTGCAGGTGAGAGACTCATCAGGCTGGCATTCGATGGCGTGAAAAAAGGAAACTGGCTCAGTGGTGTGCATTACAAATGGCATGTCGTCACACACTCTCTTAGCTGTGACTGCTGTTGTTGTGTTGCAGAAGTCATGTTAACATGGACTGCCAAATGCAAATGTGTGAGCTGGCATGGGAGTAGAACTGTGTGATGAAATTTTCATGACATATGAATGTAGGAATACTTCTTTGCTATATGTTTGCTATATAGCTTCTCTATAGCTTCTTTGCTATAGAGAGTAGCCCCTCTGTGCTCTTTAAGGGGTACTTAATGTAGTGTAGCAGTGTTGATCTTCAGGGCAGCGATGCACATCATTACTGAGGACTGAGGAACCACAGAGACAAAACAAGCATACTCCTGCTTGAAGAAACAAAATGAAATTGTATCCTAGGTGGTCTGAGTGGGACTCTTTAAATAATTCATATTATCTTCACATAATCTTTCTAATTGATTTTTAAAAATATTAAGATATGTACAGTGCATCATATATACAGTATGATGCGATTTCTAGCTTGTTTCTTCCTAAAATGAAAACCAGTAAAAATCTAAAAATGATTGCTATTGCAATGTTAAGCAATGTTACGATCAAGAGGAGACCATTTGTCACATCTATTTAATTTGAATGCTAGTAGCTAAAAATGAACCCATGATCCCATTCAGCCATTTCAGCCTTAAAAACATGCTAAGTAGCTTTTCCCACAACCCTTTGTGCAAATGGTACCTCCTGCTCTGTTTTCAATACCTTCCTCCACTGTTCCCACTGGGGTTCCCTGGTTCCTGCTTCAACTCTTTCCTAAAACAGTCAATTGGGTTGACTTTATCTATCCCTTCAGCCTTATTTTGAGTGAATGTACTGTATCAGGTCTGCTGGTATTTTCCGATAGTTATCCCTTAAGTTTAATTTCATTTAGCCTGAAGTCTTTTTTTAATTTCCTCTGTACAAATTTCAAGGCTTGCTAATTCTCCAATGTTTATATCATCAGTGAACAAGCACTCCAAAATGAGCATTTGCCCCTGATCTGTGCTCCACTCATTACCTAGTTCTCCACATAAAGGCATGGCCTCAAATACCTACTGTACTGCCTTCAAATCAGGAATTCATCTTTTATGAGGAATTTAAGTAAGTCATGAATATCTAAAAATGTCATGATATACTGTATGTTGTTTACCTCTCAACATTGCTTTTACGTCTATAATTAACTATAATGAAGAAGTTAATTAAGCAAGACCTTTTGTAAATCCATTCTAATTATCCTCTTCTGTCCTCTTGTTTATTTTAAGTGCTTCTTATACCTGTATCATGCCTGCCTCTTCTGCTCTAATACTATTTAATACAGAGCTTGATCTTTTGATTTTTCCACAGCCTGTTGGCAGTTTCTTCCATGGTAAATACTGAGTGGTATACTCATTCATGTATGAGGCATTTCCCTTTCATTTCCGAAAACTTTTCAGTCAACTGTAAGGACACTTTACATCAGCCTTCGTTGTTCTTTAGCTTCTCCAATACCATGTTATACATACATATACAGTAATAGTTTGAGTTTCCAAGCGGAAAATGCGAAGCTAAAGAAAATAGTTCCAAACTAAAGAGCAATTACTATCAGACCATGCAGCTGTGCAGTCCATTAGCTGCTGACAGCAAGTACATTATTGAGTTTGAATGAGGTGCGTGTTTAGTACCCTGAGCAATGCATCTCATTATTAATCTTTGTAATGAAGACTCTCTCTGTATAAAGTCTTTGTATAAAACATATAAAAGAGGGATATTACAATAAGAGTCAAAAGGTTTGCTGAAATTGAATAATCTAGACAACGCATACAGTAGGTCATGCAGAGCTTTTGACAGTAGCTAACTATCTCTGTGGTTACATCTGATAACTGGAAAAAAAGATGTGATTTCAAATGTAAGTTGTGGTTTTTAAACTGAAGCTCCAGGGTGGCTAACACCCCAGTGCTGCTTAGTAATGGGTACCACTTCCACGAGAGGTGGATAGGTGGAGCACCCACAACGCCCCCTCCCATCCCCTCTTCAGAGCAGGTGTACAATTCAGCAGGGGTGAACAAGCACTGGAGGAGAAGACTTCCACATCCTGCTTGGCCTTTCCATTCATTCTGGGCTTGAGCCGCGATGCACAGCTTCTCTTGTGTGCAGAGGAGTGAGCTCTACAGAAATGTGTCAAAACCAGTGTCATATACTGTACAACGCAGGTGATCACAGCCCTTCCCCACACACACATCCTCAGTTTGCATTTTCAGTCCAGTGCAAACCTGATTACCTGACTGCATCCTGTAATATTTGAAGGTGGGGGTATATTTTTCAAATACATGTGGACTCCGATTAACCATAGCTCTTATTTTTATTTTGCAGGCATCTCCCTTTTTTTCCCTCTTAACACTGCGCATACACGAGGTAAAACATGACCACATTACCACGGTGTGCACATTTCTTCCCTTCCTGTGCTTTATGCATCAACTTATCCTAGCACTCTAGCGAAGGGTTGAAACCCCTGTTATACGGCTCAGAACGACAGAGAGAAAATATGTGAATTGAAAGGTTATACAGTCATTTTTAGTGTATGCTTATTTCTCAAACAGTCAGTGTATAAATCTCTCAATGCCAATATTTCTACAAGAGCTGTGTCCTTCCAGGTGAAAGATGGCTGAAACACTATATGTCACCATGCAGTTCATTTCTTCTGCAGGGCCAGAGACAGAGCATTGTCCAGCAATGGTGAGGATAAGGCTCTGTCAGAAGCCTTTTATTACCTTTACATTCTGTATGCCTTGCAGAAGAAGGTGTACTGTAGATGTGCGTACTTAGGAAAGTGTGGGATTAATGAGGCCTGATGAATAAACTCTACAAACCATGTATTTTCCTGAGCACAGATAATTAATTTGTTTATAACCAGCCTTTTTCATTACTGCAAACTGCATTTTTATGACTGGGTTAATACCCACCTCCCATCATTAAGAGTGGGGTCGATTAACCAGGTACCCTTGACTTAACGAGTGTGACTTTATTATTAAAAGATTCATGGAGACCCAGCTTCACAGAGACAATTTTCCGGGCAAGAGTTAAAAATTGAATTTTTATTTGACCTTGGCAAGGAAAGTTTTTAAATGGTGAATTTTCTTTACCATTGTTTCCTAAATGTGGCATCAGTTTTCATCATAACGTTCCCATTTATTACTGTAATCTGAGCTTGGTTTCACTCTATTCATGATATGATATAACACAGTATATTTTTTAACGGTGGAGCTGGAGAGCCAGGAGTGGAAGACTTTTGTAAAAAGTAAAGAGTGTTAGCACTCAATGTCTATATTTCAATTTCAGGCTGTCTAGTTTTAGTGCCAACGTCTTTTGTCTAAGGTACACTATGACCAGAGTCAGTGTGCAGCAATCAATATCACTGTTAATTAGTTTTGCAGTAATGAGAATCATTGTCAATCAGTATACAGTAACCAGTTGAAGTAGCTCAGGTGGGTAGCTGCGTCAGCATGCGTAGTCTGCAAAGGAACAAGTAATAGGTTTATTCCCTGCTGAAAAGAGAAGAGAGAAAACGTTTCAGCTGTGAAGCCTTCTTCAGGTATGATCAATATCACGGCCAATCAGGATGTAATAATTTAGAATCATTGTCAACCAGCATACAGTAATTAGTATTATTGACAGTGATTGCGAATAATACAGATTACTGTACACAGATCAACAAGGATGCTCAGTACTGTTAGTGATAGTAATCAATGTCATTGTAAGTTGTAAATACCATCATCAGTAGCACTGATCTGAAGTCATCTAGAGGTACATCTTTGGATCTCTAGCCTGTTTTTGTCATTGAGACTCTCTTTCTCCTAGACTGCCTAGGAGCTACTTCCCCACAACATTCAATTTCACTGCAGCTTCTCCTAATTAAACATATACATCATTACAGCTAGCCAATAATTAAACCTATTAAATATGTAACATCCTTCCAAGTTGACCTTTTAGAGGTGGCACCTTGCCACAGTTAGCATTGCTATATTCAAAAAGGGAAAGTTTTGATCTCTTTTATTTTTATAGCCAGTGCAAGTTATCTTTAGCACACACTCAATATCTCATTGGGTTTGATAGCTCACAGTGCAGACACTGATCTCAAAGGTGACCTGGCAGGTCTAATGGCGTGATTCTGTTCCCTGCCCCCTTGCTTCTTTCAGGGAGTCATTTTCATAAGAAATAAAGGCTGGATCAATAACCTGGTAATTACATCCTTTTCTGGACCTAGAAAGGCTCTGTCCAACTTTTACTCTCACTTACAAAACTCTGTCTTCCATTTACTCTCGAAGAGACATGTCCATGACTAACCCACAGCAAATGACTCAGTGAAGAGATTACTACCTTCAGTGATGCTTTCACAGTCCACTGTGGTGTCACCATCTTGAGAACACCTTCCCTTTGTTTTAAAACAATGGTTATTTCCATTTTGAACCAGTTAGCGTCAGATTTTGAAGGTCTGAGATCTGCTAGTTGCTTCTGAAACTTAGTTTTTCACTGAACCAAGGAGGGGACAGGTTTTCATAAAAGGTTTAAAAGCAGTCTTGTCCTAAAGTCAGCGACCATAGTCTTTGGTTAATTAACAGATCTGCTTCAGAACCCCTCTTTGGGGACAGTGGAG